TCCTGCTTCCCAGAAAAATTTCTTGTCCCTTTTGTACACCTAAGCTCCAGCTTCCTTGAGACAATCCTGACTTAACTTGAAGATGAGCACTCACTCCCTGCTCAGTCAGTGCTACAAACACAGACTTTTAGGGCTGCTATTGCTTAGAACCAAATTCTTAAGGAAATTAAGTCACAACTGCTACTTCTAAAGTAAAACTTCTCATCACAACTCATCAATATTCATTACTGAGAACTATTCATTCCAGGTTATCTTGCAGATGTTAGGATGACTGCAATAAGGTGTTGCATCTGTAGTTCCCATTCTTGCTAAAAGAAAAGTAATAAACAGTAGCTTTCTTCTCTGATAAAGGAAGACTTACCCATCTGTTGATTACTCAGAAAACACCAACCAACACATATCAGATGTTCAAAAAGGGCCAAAGATTGGGCTGTAGGACTTAGAATAACCAAACACAGGGGGAAGGGGGCAGACATATGAAAAGGATGAAGTGTTGCAGTAAACACTGTGGTTAAGGCAGCAGCATTGCAATGTCAGAGTAACTCACATGAAGCCCCCATCCAGCCTCTGCAGAAGGTAGCAACAGTGGAAGGTATAAACTAAGTCTTCCGGATATTCAGTTGACCTGGATGCCAGTTTGAGAGCTCCATCCATGGCCATCACCCAAACCCATCTCATGAGCTGAGGTGCTGAGCCTACAAGCTTAGTTCTCATCATTCTAGTTACAACCTGCTGCATTTTCTTGGACGTTGACAAACACCGCTAGTGTTGGACTACAGCCATGTTAGATGTTGGCAACCAGAACACATGCATGAACACAGAGCAATAAAACCAAGGGCAGCTGAAGTCAGCAGTCAGCTTTCATCATGGCTGACAGCAATTCACCTCAGCTCTCTCAGGTGCCAGGCTCAGTCTCATACCCAGAATTACACAGTTGACAAAAATGCTGCTTCACAGTTCTGCAAGAGCTCAGGGACACAACAGATCTCAAATTCTCATATGAGATTAGATTTTTCCCTCCAGGTTCTCCTACATCCAAGGAGAAAAAAGATCAACTCCTTTCTGGAGTCATACCAGTCTCTGCAAGACGCACAAAAGCATGATTACCATTCAACTTTTTTTTAAATCTAGACTTTTTTTTTAAGGCCCCATTAACACAGAATAGTGCAACACATTACAGAGGAGAGCTGTATAGTTTGCATAACCCCTTAGACAAGTGAAAACGTGTAACACAAAGACAGGCAATACATTTGTGCATTAGTCCAGAGCCTGACCCTCAACAGTTCTGGTATTTCTCATAATAAATATCAACCTCCTCACAAGAGGAAAGTGACAAGTAAGGACTAAGAGACATTTGTAGTACCTAGAGGACAAAGATCAGAAGCTCCTAGGAACACAGCTGAGATACTATAGTAGGGGAACACCAGATACAGGTATAGCACATCAACTTGCTGGTAAGGATCCAAGCCCATAGGTAGTCCCCACCAGAAGGTATTTTGATGGAAAAAATCAAACCACCCTTAAAAAGCTATTTAGAGTAGAAGTACAGGACAAAACTGGTAATTCTTTAGGCTAAGGGTTCCACACTAGCCTTTGCTCCCTCTAATATCAATTTTTAAACTAAAACAGGATAGCCACAGCTCTAGCTGCTGCTGTGAGCAGCAACTGCAGCTCTGTATAGTAACCTCTCATGCAATTTTTGTTTTTTTTCCACTTGGAAATCTGAGATTTGGCACACATGCTGTAAGCCCTCAAGATTGTACTTCACTGGCTTTGGAAAAAAAAGCACAAAGCCAGCCACTGGGAAAAATCCTGAGCATACACTATGGGAATCTGCCTTATCAAGGGATCGAGGCCATGTCAGATGCCAGGGGACAGAGTTATGTCAGCAGACAGGCTGATGTAAGAAGGCTCAGCTGGCTCCAGGGTACAGCACAGCTTGTTTGCAAAGTACCACTGCCTGCACATCACCAGTACAGTCAGCCTTTGCCACCCTGTGTGAAGATGATAGTAAAAGTATTATAGCAGTAATGCTTTAGGAATATAATTAAGAACTGCTTTTGTTCACACACACCCCCCAAGGAAAGGAGGAATGACAATACCTTCCCAAATGTGCTCCAACAGTCATCTTTTCCATTCCTTGGAATTCCCTTCAAATATGGCATTGGCATGGCAGTTATTTCTTGCTTTATATTAAAGCCCAAGTGATTTAACACTTAACACATTATGCAAGTTCAACTCCATGCTACACATGAAACAGCATGATTAATTAGCATAGTAAAATCTCCTCTCCCTCACAAAACATACAATACATCTTACTCTTTATTAAGTATCAAATTGTCTCCAACATAAATTACATCCAAATTATATAAGTTTCAAGAAAGTCAGATATTTTATGTACAATATTTGCCATGAGTCAGATATACCTTTATCATTTTAACCTATAACATATAAAGCAAACCTACATCAGTACCAAATAAAGCATTAAAAAGGTAACAAATATATAACTTTTTAGAAATGCTTTCAGAACGCTAAAGTTAATGACAAAGATTTTTATAGTGCAGCAGTCTTGGGTTTTTAGCTCTTAAACCATTTCTCGGTTTTTGCGGATAGCACAGCAGAGAACCATACTGAATATCATGCCGAAAATCTGTAAAGAAAGCAAACACATTACCAATCAGAGGACCAAAGCCCATTCTTCTATCAACATGGGGACAGGCATTGCTGCTTTTCCCAGCCCAGAGGCCATATTAACACTTTATTCTGCAGTTTATGGCCCTTTCCTTCCACCCAATCCCAAGTTTTAGTCCATTCTCATGAATCCTCTTCACCCTCAATACTTCAAAACAGATCAGCTATGAACTGATCAGCACTGCCATATCTCCTAAGAAATCTTCGCTCATCTCAGCATATTTGCATCCATGTCATACTTTCCTCAGAGAAGTCAAACAAAAAAGTGCAAATTTTCTTACTAACAGTTATTTCAGTTCCCTAGCAGAGTCTTTAATTGTTACAAAGGAAACAAAAACAAGGATCCCCAAGAGATATTAGGATTAAGATGTGGGCTGGCAACACAACCAATACATCTTCACCCTATATATACACACACTACTGATAAAAATTCACCACTGCCAGAACTACAAGGAGGCAGATCCGAATCCAAAGCAGAAGCAGGGAGGTTTAAGACACCCCACCCTCTGTGCTGCCTCAGGGCCCTGCAGCACGCACACTGATCCTGCCAGTACTTGTCATTAGTGGAATGGGCTGGTAGACTGTCATGCCAGGCACTATTCAACAGACTTCTGCTGTAAGTATCCTTTGGCCATACAGCTACCCTCTAAATAATCTGGAAACTCACCATTATTACAGCAATGCCAAGGCCGACTGCTCCAATCACATTCAATTTCGAATTGAAGACATCATCAATGGCAGCAGGGCATGACTGAAAAGAAGAAGACTGTTTGTTAGTGCTTCATACATATGAAAGGTTGGTTTCTGCATGCTTGCTTGAGCTCAAGTCCACATGCTACGCCTGTGACTAAGCCTGTGACTAAATCTGCTTATGCTAGAGACAAAGACTCATCTTTTGAAAGCTGCTTTGAACTGGCCTTTACTTTGACATCTTTAAAGAGAACAAGGGATGTTCCAGCACAAAAGTTGGTGGAGAAGTTTAAGTCTACTCTTCAAATATCTAGACCCCTTAACCATGCCTTGGCTACAGAAGGATTCCCTTCTCACACCTGCAGTTTATAAGGTAGACCAAGACCAGCAGTTGTACCAGGCTTGGCTTGTCACTAATGGCTATCAGCATTTGAGTTGCTGTATTGCTCAGCCCTTCTCAAAGACCCATTTGAAGCTACTCTTGATCTTTTCTATTGTAAATTTTGCAGACCCCTTATGAACACGTGGTCCATGGGAACAGCAGGATTTCTTGAGCTGCATGCATGCTGGGCTATGGGTAGATTCAGAGGTGCCAGTCTCAAGCTCCCAGGACAATGAACTGTCATTGCAAACAAAAAAAAAGTACAGTCCTCTCCCCAAAGACACAGAGTAGCCAAGAAGAACAAGGAACATTTAGAGGTACAAAACTTTAAGAGCCTGGTAGCTGGTCAAAGTCTCATCCCAACCCCTATCCTACTTAAGTCAGCAGTAGACCTGTGAGCTGCTGAAAACAGTTTTTGCTTGTTCTTTACCCAGTCCAGAAAGAAAAACTGAATCAAGGATTAAAGCAAGGATTAATGGCAAGCATTAATCAGTTAAATCAGAATATCAATACAGCACTACTTCTTAGAGGCACAGAGATGAGACACACTATTACATCCCTTTAATTTTGCAGTCTATACAGTTTTTTTTCTACAGTTGAGACTAGGCCAGAAACACATCACAAGATGAAGTCAATAGATGAAAGTAAAACACACTTAACAAAATAAAAGCAAACAATAAAACCTGCATGCTGCCTCAGCTACTCCCACATAGTCTAACTCATAAGCAGATTGTATGGATAGCACTAGAGACAGTCTAAATACAGACTGAAAGGTCTCATGTGGTCAGACATTGGAAGGCACAAAATCACCTGTAGTGAAAAGGAAGAGCACAAGTAACATAAAAAAACAATCAAGTCATTAATGAATTCCTGCATCATAAGAACCTGATTTTCTTTGGAAGGTTCATACAGGCTCTCTTGGAGCATGAAGCAAGAGCACAAGACAGTTTAGAAAAACAGGAAAATGGGTAATTAAAAACTACACCAGATGTCTCTCCTGTACCTGTGGCATACAGGCACCTCTGGCTTCACAATGGCATGCTCTCCTAAACAGGCCACCAATGCCTTACCGTCCTCACCTTCCCCTTGCTAAAACTTCAGACCTGCTCCCACTCCCATGCCCTACTTCTCCCTAACCAAAAAAAGAGGCTGCAGCTCCCACACAGCACCAGAAAGGTGCTTTAGTGATAGAAGCACCAGAAGAGAGCTCTCTGGGCTTTTCTTCCTTTGAGGCAAAGTTTTGGCCTTACACTGCCCACCACACCAGCGAGTTTAGTGACACACAGACTTCATATTTCCTGTGCAAGTTCAGATTCCCTGCTGACCCTGCTTGTTCTTTCCACAGTAACAGCACATTGATTTTCCATAACTGGTCTGATTATAGAGAGGTTGCTAAGCAAGTGTGACATGAGAATTTCCCATGGACTGGAAGGGTTTATTCAGAAACGTGTTTCTCATTCTACTCATTGGGCAGAGCTGTTGGTGAATTAAGTCATGCTTTACCACTGCAGAAAGCGACTCGACTAAGGTCTTCTTCGGACAGGTCTCCATGAACTGCTGCTCAAGAACTCCTGTAAGACCACAGCAGTCTAGCTACAAGAGAAATTTTTAAGAGAACCAGGTTAAATAATCCTTACTTGGTAAATATAACTAGATTACATTAGGCTTTATTACAGACCTTACACAAATTTGCTCACAAGTCCTGACAATTTGACTGCAATAAGCCTAATTTAAAAAAGCCTTTATTGCATTAAAGGACAAGATTCTGAAAGGGAAAACTCGATCTCATTAAATAGACACACATTAATTTTAGTGACAGCTTGTACTACTTACAGACACAAAGGTGAGCTCCTCATAGACTTGCAGGTATGCATACTATAGTGCCTCTAGATCAATGCCACCAATCCAGAGTTTCCCAGTTTGCTGCTCAGTTTTAGGGAAACAAGAACTAGTTCTATGCATTTCACAGGTACAAAGGGACAAAGTGGCATACTGAATTGACTAATACTACACAAAATCTTATTTTCTGCAATTTTTTACTAATAATCCTTTGGTTTCTTCTAGTTAGTAAGGTACTAGAGTTGTACAAGGGACTGGATGACACGGGACAGTCTGAACAAGCTCCATTACCATCTAGTTTAAGTAAAACCGTGTACTTACAGCTAACTGAAACGCTTTCAGAGTTTCTCTGGCACCTGGTTGAGATCTCTTTTCATAGGCTTCCCTGTAGAATTCCTTTAACTCTTCAATAACCTACAAGATAGCAAAGAGTTGTGGTGTATTACTGTTTTACCTTCATATTGATTATGCAAAATTAAGTTTTGAGTTAAGTCAGTCATTAAAAATTCCACAGCCTACAATACCCATCCTTTTGACATGTATAAACAGAGGGTGGACAGCATTTCTTACCCAGAACAGGTGAGACTAACTGGTACACTCACCTTAAAAACCACACCTAAACAGATAAGACTCAGTTTCCCTTCCAAAGCTGTGACCTTCTAGGTGGAGTGAGTGAACTAAGTCTTTGCCCATTGGTTATACAAAAGTATTCCTTATTCCATTCTGTACCCCAGAAGTTGCTATATTCCCCTGTTGTGTAATACAAGCAGAAAAGCAACTCTATCTTGTTTCAAAGTAAGGTGCTTGGTGATCAGAATCTTGACTGCTTGTGAGGGGACAGCCCAGATCAGTCATGTTTTAGATGCAGAAACACTCATCCCATAGCTGACCTAGCTCATATCTAGAAATGGCAAAGCTTCACTGGTGCTCTGCTTTGCTTCACAGCTCAGCCAGGTACTGCCTGGAGAGCATCTCTAGCCTGCAACAGCATCTTGGATTCTGGCTTCTCTGCTACAGTCTCGTTTTTAAATACTAGAGTTTAATTTCTTGTATTGTTTTGCTAGAATGCATCTTCCTCTCCCCCAAATTCCCTGGGTAATCAAGATTTGACTAGTACTGGAACGGTTTTCAGTAGACTGATAACTTTCTGTGGGCACAGTCATAGAATCACAGAATGGTTTGGGTCAGAAGGGACCTTAAAGACCACCTAGTCCAACTCCCCTGCCATCTTTCAGGGCAGGGACATCTTTCACCAGATCAGGTTGCTCAAAGCCCTGTCCAACCTGGCCTTGAACACTTTCAGTGATGGGGCACCCACAACTTGTCTGGGCAACCTGCTCCAGCATCCTCCCACCCTGCCAACTTTTAAGAGCAGCTTACCTTTTCTTTATTTGCAAATCCCCAGATTGCAGCAGCAATTTCAAGGGCAAAAATCACAAAAAGGAAGAGGAAAAACTAGAAAAGAAAGACCACATCATTAATTAAGACCACGACACCACAAAACAGCATCACACATATATACTGCAAGCTTGCCCAGTCCACAGCATTCAGCCTTGTGGAACTGGCACTCAATCAGGTTCCAGCTGAAGATCTGAAACGCTGGTAAGCCTAGGAAAAAGGACACGCTGCATTGAGTCAGCACTTCTTCTCAGGAATGTCAGAAAGCCTGGCAATGTTTTCCAAGCAGAAGTCCTCCTTTTCTATCAGTGTTAATTAAAACCAATCATCTGTTAACTCAGACTTTGAAGTTGCCCAGGTCACTCAGACACATCACATCACAACAGCTGACAAGTTTTCTCTGATCTGTCACTCCCATTGCTTTAGGAGTCATCACCTAATACCTAGCTTGCTACAAACTCCCAGAGAACTAATGGTCACCACTTTGCTGTGTATTTCAAAATAGAAATAAAAGTGTCATCTCTGTGTTTAATTGACTACCAGGTCCAAAACACCAGTACTATTTAAAAGCACTTTAAAGAGAGATGTTCAGAATTACGACAAAGGGCTAGAGGCACCATTTTGCAAGAAATACATGAAATTAACTTCTTACACGACACAGAAGGGGAATCATTCTTTCACCAGCTATAGTAGCAGTATTTTATTAACTAAGTCTTCTGGTTATTTGGATGAGTAGTTCCACAAGTGTACAGATGTGCATGGACCCAGTAAGCTCCACTGGCCCCTCCAGTCTGAAAACAATGAGGTTGCTCTCCAATAATTGGCTTGCAAAGCAGTTGTCAACTAGAAGAGCTCATCCTGTGATTATGAACAGTAGAGGCTTGTTGTTTCAAGGACCAAATACCACAGTTCTGCTCTCAAAGATTAAAGATTGCACAGCCTTTGGAGTTCAGGACAAACTGTTTAATAAATAGCATTACTCTTATCAACATTTTAGTTCTGTATTCACACATACTCCCAGTCTTGTTGTTTCAATGCCTGAATATGTCACTAACTCCTGAAGTCATCCTGTATTCAAATACAACATGGACATTTGGATTTAGGGCCAGAAATGGAAACTGTATGTCATTATTTAACATTTTAACATTATGTAGATGACCATGAGTTTAAACGTGGTGGAGTCAAAACAATCAGCATCTGCTGTCCTTTAACTACACAGTAATATTTTCTTTGCTTTCTCATCACACTGCTAAAAATGTAAACACTTCTCTGAACACTTACCAGGCCAAGCATACATTGAGATTCCTGCAATGCACCACAGCATCCCAAGAAGCCAACCAGCATCATAAGCGCACCAGCTCCAATTAGGATGTAGACTCCTAGGGAGGAGAAAAACAGAGACATGTGTACAGGCTACTTGAGAACTCAGCAGCAAGGTATAAAATTAGTTGCTCCACAAATAGCATTTGTAGCTTTTGCCAAGGTTTACATTTCTTTACTGAGGCATTCCAAGCAAAAAAAAAAAGGGCTATGATGTGTTTGCTTTGAAAACTAATCTCAAAACTTGTGGGGAAATTTATTGATAAATAAAAGCTTCAACTTATAACAACTAATGTGTACCACTACTGCAGTTTCACAAGTTTTAGAAAATGGACAAGCTAAAAACCATCCAAGACAAACTAAGACATTTTAAAACTGGCTCAGAGCCAGAGTCATCAACTTATTTTCAGATCAAGCACACACTGCAGTTAGACAGCTGGAACTAGTGATTTATCAACATCTGAGAATCCTTGAAGCATGCTGCCTCTAGAATAGGCATTAAAAAGCATCATAATCATCTGTTGTAAGGCTTTAAATGCTTTCCTACCCTGCTTTTCCATCAGGAAACACTGAATTAAGTCCACCAGTCATGGCAGTTCAAGTCTACACTTCAGCTGCCTAACTCAACAGCCTCTCTACTACAAGAAAGCATTTTTTCCCTTTTGCAAAAGCAGATACTGCTTTTAACCATATCACATGGCTGAGCCTGTAGACCATTCTGCCCAGAATTCAGTTAGTGTGTTGGAACACAGAGGGCAACCATTTCTGGGCTAAAAGACTCCATTTATGCCCAATCCTCTCCTCCTAAGCTTGGGAACTGCCAGCTTCAGCATTAGAGCTCCTAACTGGTGAGAGCAGCAAGAGGCAGTGAGGAAAACCATTCCCAAATGATGGCAAGAAAGTATTATTGGGGTGGTGAAACCCAAGATAAAGAATCAGCACAAAGCATGTAGCATTGGTGTGACACTTCTATCAATACAGACAAAAATACAGTTCTGGCCTTCAGAGACCCAATCAGTACTATTTAAAGAAAGCCATACATACACATTTGCAAAAGATTATTTTCTAGATGCAAACCACTAAGTTTAGCCGCCAAAATAAACATCTACTTGATTAAGCAT